CTCCCTGTTTGGGGCTTTGAAATTGGAGCTGGACCAAACTGTGGAAACACTTCAGAGAACTTCAGCATTATGAAGCCTGCAAACACACTTCACGGGTGTTGGGGGAGGGCAGTTGTTTTTGCTCTTCAGCTTTTGGGATCAGATTATAGCAGATTAGGGACAAAGGCATCACACCACCATTTTAAATGTTGCATAATGTTGTATCTTCCAGACAATTGTGATCAGTTCAGATTTGACCAAATGCTTTGGCTTCCTTGCAGAGCTTCTCAACAGCAGCACCATTGACATTTGAGGCCAGATAATTCTTTGTTGTAGGGGGTGGTCCTGTGCCTTTTAGGACATTTAGCAGCATCTCTGACCTCTAGATGACAATAGCAATCCCCAGTCATGACAATCAGAAATGTCCCCAGACTTAGCGAAATGTCCAGAGGCCCAAAACTGCACCCCAGTTGAGAACCACTGCCTTCAGGTATTCTTGGGTGCGATGGTGAAATAGGAAAGCAGACGTGGTTGTCCAGTTTTCACATTATTTTTGGCTCTCATTGCCAACATTTTCATGGCACCTGCCAGGCTAAGGAGTTGAGGAAGTAAAATAGGATTTATAACATCTATTCAGCTTGTTGTTTTAAAAGTTCTGTTCCCTCAAAACCAGTTTGATTCCAAAGGCATATGTCAACTTTTATTGATTCTTCTCAGTGGCACTGCTCTGCCCACTGGCTATGGTCTACATCTGAAACAATTACTGTTTTCCTTGGAAATGTGCCTGCTGTGGGTCTGTCCATTGGAATTTATTACACAAGGCTTCTGACTTGGTCAGCACCCAAGCTCAGCACCTTATAGTCCAAGAACCCTAAGGGCCAGCTGCTCCAGTTGACCAGTGTTCAGACGTAGGGTGACTTTTTTTTAAAGGAACATGTACACATGCACAGTCCCAAATCCCACATCACAGTTACACTTCTGAATAACTTGAATTTCAATTACCCAAGGAGTAAGGAAGGACATTTTATGGCACGAGGGTGTGAAGTAGATAAAAACCACATCCCATTTTAGTACCCAAAAATGATCCTCTAAGATCCTGGAGGATGGACCAGAGAGAATTCCAGATGAGCATTCCCTGGTGGCCGAGTACAGCATGCACAACTGCTCTTCAGCCTGCAGATCTCCCTCTGAGAAATCACACCTGGAGCACAGGCCTGAAAAGTGCTGTCATATGCCTGGGGGCACGAGGGGCTTGGAATACATAAAAGAAAAGTGGCTGCCTGGCCGCCAGCTTTGAGAACCCGACACTGCCCTGTGCCTGCTTTTCCTTTTAATCCCGCCCCACCCCCACCCCCACCCCCAGCTCTGAGCTCTGCCCTTCCCTGCCTCCAGCCCAACCTGGGCTTCCTTCTGCACAAGGGCACTTGCACTCTGTCTGCCTCTCTCTCTCCTTCCTTTGCAGACAGACTCCACACCTTGTCTGAAAAGAGTTGTCATCTGGAGGTTTTCTTTTCTTTTCTTTAAAAAAAATTAATGTTTAGCTGCCAGCCTGGGCGACAGACAGCATACATTAATCTGAGCCATGCAAAAGATCCTTTTAAGGCAGCCATTATCTGCTCAGGCTGATTAATCCTTTGGGGGCAGGGGGAGGGGCTGGACTCCGGCTGCTTTCATCCATGTCAAGCTGCAGAACGAACACTTGAGCTGTCATGGCAAATATTTAGCCCTATCAGTAGGGAAACATTTCCAACTAAAATACCTGAACCTCTTAATCCCCAGATTTCCTACTCTTTAAAAGCTCCCTGTTAATATCAGGGGTCCTCACCTCCACCCACTTTTGAATAAGAGGGCACCAAGCCAGTCAAAAGGACAGATGAGCCCCAGTCAGGTGGGTCAGTTACACATGGCTGGTGGGGATTGGTAGGGAATGTCAGACTGGCCAGATGAAGACAAGCATTAGATCGTTTGAATCTGAACATATCTAGAGGGTTGAAGTTGTTTTATTATCAAAGTGTGTATAAAAAGGATGGATACTTTGACCAAATGGAGGGTCTTTTGTAGTGTGACACTGGTATTGCACAGGTAGAATAATAATCACAGACAATATTTAAGACATTTCAGATATTCTGTCCACAAGTGAAAGAACTATTTTCTCCTGACAGCTGAGACCATAGCATCATTCCAATACTTGCATCGGTGACAAACCACGGACTCCCTTGGGATTCCAGTAACTGGGTACCACCACCAGGTCACCACACAGTAGCTGAAACAGAAGGCACAGCATGTCCAGACATCACTGTGAAACCGGGTGACCTTTCATTCATTTTCCAGTGGATTCACCTTTTTGTCTCAGGGCAAATGAAGCAAGAGGAATAATGGGCAGAGCCAATTATTTGTGTCTGGAGCATTGCATCAGATGCCAACAAATTGTGTTTGCCTACTGCCTTTCCTCTTACCCCAGCTTCTCCCCAGCCTATTGAAATCTAACTGGAAAAGTGGAATAAAGTTTCCTGTTAACTCTCAAACATGTCACAGCTCTTCATATGAGCACAAACAAGTGACACAGGGCTTGCTCACAGCTGGCCCCAGTGAGTGGGCAGGGACAAACTCTGTGGAATGAGGTGTGGCCTGGCTGCCAGATGAGCGAGAGAGTGGCCACGGAAGGGCAGCCCTGGAACCACTGTCAGTTTACAACTTTTTCCCTGCCCACATGTCTGACTCGCTTTGGAAAGATTAACAGGAGTGTTTGTTTGAAAGTCGGACTCCTGGTTTCCTCATTAGTGGAGAGAGTTGTTGCAGACCCTCAGTTGTTTCTATAAACTTTAATTACCTCCCTGATGAGGAGCATATCTGCTCATCACATTCACCCCAAATTTACAGAGGAGTTCACTTGAAGGGGAAGAGAGAGGGAGAAGGGGAGAGAGGACAGAGGAAAGAGAGAGGGGATGAAGAACACTAGCTCTCCCTGCTGGAATAATAGGCTTGAAATATGAGGAAGTTAATCAACAGCGGATGCCTTCCAAAAACAGATTAATCCACCCCTGTAGCTTTCCTTTCAGAGCAAGCCTTTGGCTCTGTTAAGTTTTTCTATGGGCCTCAGCACAAAAGGACACAAGCCACATGCCATCTTGAGCTTGGAGTTATTTTGTGTGTTGGTTTGAGAACCTACAAATTTTAAAATATTTAATTCTTGGCCTCTGCTTTGTTTGTTGCTGTCTTTTGGGTTTGCTCATGGAAAAACTATCATCCTGGCCTCTTATTTAATGAATAATTCTGAGGAACAGAAATTCCCCCAGGGCACCATCCTCCGTCTACAGTGGTGGTTCTCCGTGGGGGGTGATTTTACCCCCACCCCTACACCCAGGACAACTGGCAGTGTCTGGGGACGCTGTTGTCATAGTGCCGGGGCGGGGACACTGCCAGTGCCTGCCCCATGTCTGCAGTGCCTGCGGACACTGCCTAACATCCTGCAGTGCACAGAGAAGTCCCCGCCACCCCAGCAAGTAACTCTCTGGCCCAAAATATCGACGTTTTTGCCGCACCGAGACACTCTGATGTACAGGGCACAGGGAACCTTCCCTGGCACCCACACCCCTTAGCACCTCCCAAGGGCAGCCTGTGGCTAAGAAAAACGCAAAGGTAATGAAGGACAGCCAAAGCCAGTTTGTGAAACTGTAAATGCATAATCCTAACAAAATGAGTTTTATAGACAAAGTTTTGGCATTCCTGGTCAAATTTCAACATGGACAAAAAAATGGAGTATATAAACTCCATGCAGCGCTATTCATATTAACAAATCAGTGAAGCACATATTGAGGGAACAGCAGGTAAAACTGAGGCTGTGTTGTTTCTGAACATGTGGAATTAGTCTGAAGGTAAATGTGGGGAAGAAAGAGTGGTATTGATGTTCACTGACATTCACTAACCATTACTATTGTGGCATGCCTTCGGTTCAATCAACAAACTGCCTATTTTCAACTGTTTGAGGCCTACAAAAATGGCAATTTCCTGTGACTCACACTAAATGTTATATATAAAGCATTATAATGTTAGTTCATATTAACACCGTTATGCAATACATTTTGAATATTAATATTCTATTAATATTAATCTATTAATGCATCCATTACATTAGTAATCATTATATAGTGTTATGTATCATATTCATATTGCTATCACAGATCAAATTTATATTAATATTGGCATAGTAATACATTGATTATGTAGAGAGCTGGAAAACTTTTTCTATAAAGGGCCAAAAACTATTTTAGACTTTCTGAGCTCTATGGTCTGTATCATGACCACTCAATCTGCAATGGTAGCTCAAAAGCAGCCTTAGATAATACATGAGAGAATGAGTGAGGCTCATCCCAATAAAACTTTATATATGGACACAGACATTTGAATTCCATATAATTTTCACATCAGGAAATAGTATTCCTTTGGTATTTTTTCAAACATTTAGAAAAGTATATAACTCATTCTTGGCATGTGGGCCATGTTAAGAACTGGTGGCAGCTGGATTTGGTGAGTGGGTTTGCGAAACCCAGAATTATAACAGTATTATAGCTACATTAAACATATATCTAGGCTGCATATATATGTATTATATATATTTCTATACTATGTAAAGAATTGGACATATATTTGCATATTACTTGTTATTACATGTATTTTTGATATTATATCAATGTTTTATCATATACTATGTTACATTACACGATATGTCTATAAATTATCATACCACTGCCCCAGGCAGCAGCATTCTGGGTAGTTCCCCATGTCCCCACCCTGGGCAGCAGCATTCTGGGTAGCCTCCCACCTCCCCACCCGGGGGAAGCAGCATTCTGGGTAGCTCTCCATGTCCCCACCCGCCCAGCAGTAGTATTCCAGGTAGCTCCCCACTTCCCCACCCCAGACAGCAGCGTTCTGGATAATCCTTCCATGGGCCCACGGCAGAGGAAGGGCTTGGCCTCCTGGGCCCCCATCTCACCTACGGTCTTTTCTCACCCGCCCCGCAGCGGCGCCCGACCTGACGGCCTTCGGTGACCCACGCCAATTCTCCGCGCTACCCTCCATCTCAGACCCTCGCATGCACTACCCCGGCGCCTTCACCTACTCCCCGACGCCCGTCACGACGGGCATCGGCATCGGCATGTCGGCCATGAGCTCGGCCACACGCTACCACACGTACCTGCCGCCGCCCTACCCGGGCTCGTCGCAGGCGCAGGGCGGCCCCTTCCAGGCCAGCTCGCCCTCCTACCACCTCTACTACGGCGCCTCGGCTGGCTCCTACCAGTTCTCCATGGTCGGCGGCGAGCGGTCGCCGCCGCGCATCCTGCCGCCCTGCACCAACGCCTCCACCGGTTCGGCGCTGCTCAACCCCAGCCTCCCGAGCCAGAGCGACGTGGTGGAGGCCGAGGGCAGCCACAGCAACTCCCCCACCAACATGGCGCCGGCCGCGCGCCTCGAGGAGGCCGTGTGGCGGCCCTACTGAGGCGGCGAGGCGGGCCGGCCGCCGGACCTCGGCCTGGGGCGCGGCCCGCGACCTGCGCCTGCGCCCTTCCCAGGCCGGCCTCGAGTCGCCCGCGCCCCGCCGGCCCGCGCCCTGCGCAGCTGCCGCCGGCCAGTCTCAGATTGTTCAAACCTGGCACAACTTGAGGGTGTCCGCTTCGCCACCACGTGGACACGTTGTAAGGCAAACAGGAAGATTCCCACAGGGAAACTGTGAATGCTTCTGATTTAGCAATGCTGTGAATAAAAGAAAGATTTTATACCCTTGACTTCGCTTTTTAGACAACTTGTTTATTCCAAAAAGTGTAGAATTGGGGTTTGGGTGGGGGCGAGGGGTGCAACTCATCCTGTTTGGCATCTAATTCATATTTTTAATTATTTTCTTTTCCAGCACCTTATAAATTGCAAAATGCGTATTTGCATTTGGGGTGATTTTTATTTTTATATATATAAATTTGAGCTTGCTTCTTTCTTGCTTTGACAATTGAAAGAAAAATTTCCTTTTCTGCAAGTTTTATTTAACTTTTGGACTTTGTGTAGTTGTTTTTTGAGAAACAGCTACAGCTTTGGGTCATTTTCAACTACTGTATTCCCACAAGGAATCCCTAGATATTTATGTATCTTGATGTTTGGACACTTACTTATGTGTTGATACTTTTTTTATTATTTAAATGTACTTATATTAAGAAGAAAAATATCAAGTACTACATTTTTTGTTTTTGATAGTAGCCAAAGTTAAATGTATCACATTGAAGAAGGCTGGAAAAAAAAATGATGAGTAATGTGATCACTTGGTTATCTAAATATTGTTTACATTAAACTCCCTTTCATGTTAATCAAACGAGTTGGTAGCTAACGCAGCAATGTTTTTAATAGGTTCTTTAGATACTGAGGGTCACTCCAAAGATCTGAAGTATGGAATTTTCTGCCAAGCTCAACAAAGGGTCTCATATCTGACTCCCTCCCTTCAGAGAAGGTCAAATCTGGTTCCACAGGGGTCAGGTAGATGCCAATGATTGCACCTCTGGAGAGGATTTGTTTTCTGCCTAGAGGTTTGCTCACTCCATGGCATCTTGATAATTTCAAACATGCTTTGTAACAGAACAAATCCAAAGAAAGCCCTGTGGAGAAGCAGTATCCACATGGAAATGAATGAATTTAGGGGTTTCATAACTGCTCAATTCTGTGATAGGAAGATCATCTGAACCCAGAGTTCAGGGTTTTTTTCTAGCTCCAAGAAAATATTCCTCTTTGATACAGTACCTGTTCACTGATGCAGAACAGAACTTATGGCTGTCCCCCAAAGCTGGAAGGGAAGGAACTAGACCAGATGCCTTGGATGGCCAAAGGTCTCCAGCTGCATGGTCATGGGGCAGGTCCAGAAGCAGGCCTGAACAAGCCAGTTCCCCTCTGTGTGCCTCAGTGGAGTCACACGGGAGAGCACGGTCTCACCTGTGCAGGCCCCCGCCCCGTGCTGCTCGTGTGTCACCCATCTTTGCCTTGCTGTCACCAGGCTGAGCCCCTACCCTGTGGGATATGTGCACTTTTCCCGTGCATCCACATGACAGGAAAGATTTATGTCAGTGCTGCCCATGGTTACAGTTCAAAAGTATCCTATGTCACTGTACATTTTATGGCACTAGTTTTACTGGGGAATTTGGTCAGAATGCAGTTGTTGTACAACTCGTGAATACTAACTGCTGATTTTGACATGTGTGCTCAAAATGATCTGGTTGTTATTTAATGTACCTCTTAAATTAGTTGAAACAATTTCAGGTCAACTCTGAAGAGTATTTGAAAGCAGGACTTCAGAACAGTGTTTGATTTTTATTTTATAAACTTAAGGATTCAGATTAGAAAGATCTTTGGCTGCAGGCAGCAAAACAGCTGGACTTAATTTAAAACAACTTGTGTTGAATTTTCTTATATATATATATATATATATATATATTATTTGTTTTACACAGATGCAGTAGCACTTTGGTAAAAGTTAACGAGTAAAGCAGTTTGTGTTGTCAGGGTCATTCTTATCTAGGAAAGACCTAAAGCAGATCTTGGAAAAACTCAGAATATATTAGTTTTCATTTTGGACATAATTCTCCCTCCACAATTCAATTTCAGGTTTTATTCTGTATTACATTTGTGTGGCAGAAATTACCCTTAAATGTCAGTAAGTTTAAACATTTGATTTCTGAAAAGGACCACTAGCCCATTTACCCCAGTTGAACCGAAATGTTCTTTTCAGCACATGTTGCCGTAGCTGACCTGACAAAAATGTTAGAGGAAGAAATGAAGGAAAAAAAATGTATATTTTTCAGTTTGATTCTGGTACCTGAAAATATTTCAACTCAAAACCAGCCTAATGCCCTGCAGGGGAAATCAGGTAATATCTCACATTGGATCGTCACTCTCAAATCCATGTTCGAGAAGAGCTTAGCTGCAGATCTACTGGTTTGGCCATTCAGTTTCCCTGACCCTTACTAGCATATATAGTGTTTAGATGTTCCAGAAAAAAAAAAAAAAAAAGAAAAAGAAACTTTAGCTGTTATGGAGTTGGGTCTCACATCACATTTAATGCATTCTTTATTCCTGAAGAATTACATTCATTGCCTTCAGATGAACTAAGGCAGTGCTTTCATCAGGGAGACCCTTAAGCCAACAATGTGATAACTGGACAGATCTGGGAACATTGATCCAAGAAAAGAAAGATTAAGCCATTTCTACTGCTTATTCATGCCCTTATTTATAATTTCAACATGACACATATTTTAGTTTTTTGTTTTTCTTACTATATTTCTGCTATTTCTCTTCTGTTACTTATATTTCTTTTATCACACATTTCTTTCTCTCCACTCCCCTAATATCTTCCTTTTTCTCTCTTCCCTTCTCTCCTTCATTCTCCCGTTTTGTGTAAGGAGCTAGCACCCCAGCCACCCACCCACCCAACACCCAATGTCCACAACATGAGGAGCTTGGCATCTCCTCCCTTTACAAAAGGAACATGGTGAGTCAGCCTTTCTCCTGCTTGCGGGTTTCTTCCAACTGAACAGACATTGCCAACCATTCTGGATCTGCTTGCTGTCCAAGTGCGGCAACAGAAGCCTTCCCAGGCAAATTATAATCCGTGAGTTAATAGACAGCCTTCTGCTGCCTAGGGTTTCCATGCAGATAAACAGAAATGCTCTGATTAAAGGAAATGAATGGTTTCACTCAAATGTCCTACAATTTAGGATTGCAGATTTCTGGCTCAAAATACCTGTTTCCTTGGGACCTTGCGTCCTGGTGATTGTTTTGGTGGCTTTCATTTTCTGGGGGCATGACATGTTTGGGGTCTTTTATACATGAAAAATCAGCTTAACAATAATCTCAGAAAACTATTTTTTTTTTTACATCTGAACAAAATGCTTTTTTGTTTACCTACAGTATACAATTGTTTGGGTTGTTTGTTTGTCTGTGTGTTTATTTGGAGTTTCCCCCTCTCTTTAGCCAGATTGATGAGGCTGATCATTTGGCATTTTTTTTTTCCTTCCAGAAGAGTTGCATCAAGGAAGTTAATTGTATTTATGTGTGTAAATAGATTTTAAGCTTCATTATAAAATATTGTTAATACCTATAGTAATGTTTTCTCAATTTTTGTGTTTCCAAGGACTTTTTCTTACATTCACTAAATACTGTAGACAAAAAAAAAAAATGCTTCTTTCTACTTTGTTTATTTTAGACTTAAAATGAGCTACTTTTTATTCACTTTTGTAAAGCGCTAATAGCATGGTTCCCTTTTTTTTTTTAAGTTCACTCTTTGTTTTAAGGGAAATGAATGTGCAAAAAAAAAAACTCTTGGTTATTTGTGCTATTCTGGATGTATAAAAATCAATGGAAAAAAATAAACTTCCAAATTGAAATGACAGTATGACATATCTATTGAGAAAGTAACAATGGGAAACATGGTGTTACTTGAACGAGCCTCATCTAGTGTGTTTGTGTAGCAGTTACTGGATCTGATCACAAAGCACCCTCAAAATTAGTGTGTTTTCTTTCTCCCTGGTCCTGATATATTGAACACTTCATGAAAGGGAACTGTCAACCTTGAGTTTTAAACCAGATATGATCTGAGAGAATACCCCAGAAATGCCCCCCTAAGGTGTTTCTAGCTAATGCAGGAGAGCAGCACGTTGAGTGGCCACTGCCCCTCTGCTGGGCGCCTCTGGGGGGTCCAGCCTGTACAGACCAGCTGGCCTGCTGCTGTCCAGGAGCCACCGCAGACTTATTTCTTTTGTACCACAGTTTCTTCTGTAAATGCAATATTATAGCTAGAATGGCAAACAAAGAGTTTGGCAAGTGCATACACCATATCACATTAGTTTCATCTTTCTCTGAGACGGTGGGCTACGAAGCCAAATGGAGCCCACTGCAACACGGGAAAATACCCTCACCAAGCAGTGCCCCATGGCCTTGCCAGGCTTCAAGTTGCGGTCTGGGCCTCATGTTTCCTCGCAGTGTCCCAGCATCACCTGGCTTCTGAGTGTGCGGTGGCCTGAGTAAGGCCCAGGCTCCCACGGCTGCTGCTTTGGGTATGAAGGGGCACTGAAGCATGCTTTAATGCTTGTTTTTTTAAAAAAAGAATTACATGGGGTTTGCAAACAAAATGAAATCCACGTGTGTTCAACCTGAGGCCGGTTACCTCGCCTGCCACCATTTCTATAAATTTCACAAGAGTCAGCAGTGCAGTGTTGGGGACTAAGTTCTTCAGTTACCAGCCCTGGGCAAAGCATTATTTGTATTTCAGTCTCAAGAGTCTGCAGGAGCCAAGTTACCTTCCAGCCACAAAGCACTGTTGAAAGCTCCTCCCCAGCTCTTGTCACTGTCATCTCATGGTCTTACATGGTCTGCAGAGTGGCCATAGGAACGTCAGGAACCAAAGCAGCCGGGATCAAAGGAAATGACTGACGTAGGAAGTAACGGCTGCTGAGCAGAGGCAGGAAGTGGGTGGAAGGGCCAGGCTGTATCTGTTCAGAAAGGAAGCCTGGTGGAGCAGCTCAAAGTACATACTGCTCAGGACTCAGACTGCCTGGGTTTCAGTCCCAGTTCTGTCTCATGCTAGGAACAAATTAAGCTGATGGCCTCATTTCCCGCAAGTGTAGTATAATATAGAGATAAATGTTTTAAATTATGACATTTAAAGAAGTTAATAATTTCCAATTAAAAAGTACTTGGCACATAATACCTACTCAATAAATGTTAAATAAATATACACAAAGTGATACTGCTCATTATTAAAAACAAATAATATCAAATGAAAATGTCTTTCATTTCTCCCAATCCATGCCTTGCTGTTACTGTTAAGTGTCCCAGGCTCAGCTTTCCAGACTTTTTTCTATACCCATAATATACACCACATATTTGATCTACACCCATGCAAAGAGGCATCTTACAATTATGCATAAGCATTATATGTACAAAGGCATATCATTGTGCAGCTTTTTCCACTTAATATGCAATGTCATCATTCTCACATCAGCACACTTAGATCTACTTCATTCTTTTTAATGACTGCACTACATAAAATTTTATGGTTGTATTAATTTACCCCTCCCTTTATTGATGAGCACCTAGGTTGCTCCCGATGTCTTGCTATTACAACAGTTCCCTGCAGATGTCTTGTGACCTTATGCTAGAATTTTTGTACATTTAAAAGGAATTACTGGTTCAAAACAATTTTACATTTTGACAGCTGCCTCCTGATTGCTCTTTCAAAAGGCTTTATGGCATAGATTTCTAGGGTTTGAGTTGTGTGCTAGGAAAAGAGAAAAGGAAATTGATTACCACCATCTGTAGCAGGTTTTTAAACTGGACCTTCGTGTTGGAGAGATTTTGTACCTTCTGAAGTGCTCAGAGTATTCCAGAAGAGGAGTGTAGGTCTGAAGAAAAAATAACAACACTGAAGTGCTTCCTACAAGCTGGGCTTATTTAAGCACTTTGTATACTAGTTGCAGTTCTTACAATGGCTTTATGAGAGCTCCTGTTGTTATCCCCATTTTGCAGGTAAGGAAACTGAGATCCAGTGAGGCTGAGCAAATAGCCAGTGGCCCCACACCTTTTGGTAGAGGAGCAGTGATTTGAGCCCCAGCCGTTCGCCCAGTACTCCCTTCCTAACTGTTCTTTAGTACTGAAGCTCTGAGCAATGTTAGACATCCATTGATGACAAAAGAGTTGTCTAAACCCTCAAGGTTGGCCCATCTCTTCAAATTGTACCTACCTTTTGTTAGTCTGAAAAGCTGAAGAAAGAAATGACAGTGTGAGTGTTTCTAGAAAAGGGGGAGCCAAACAGGCTTCCAAAGAAACTGTTCACTCTTACTCAGGGCTCAGGATCACGGAAGCGTCCATGCAGCCAGCTTCCCAGCATGACCGAGCATGTCCACAGACCACAGCACGTCTGTAGGGAAACCTTAGCTGGAGGCCTCTGCACCTACTCGATTCTGTCCTTCATTTATTCATTTTTCATTCATAAACTTTTTTTTAAGACAGTTTAAGATTTATAGAGAAACTGAGCAGATAACACAGACAGTCCACATCCCCAACTCCACATACACACCCCCTGCCACGAGTTCACAATTTCCCCTCTTATAAGCATCTTAATCACTCATGTGGTGCATTTGCAACAATCAATATTGATAATATAATTGATACCTTATCACTAACTAAAGTCCACCATTTATTCAAATTTCCCTAGTCTTCTCCTAATGTCTTTTTTCTGTTTCAGGCTCCCACCCAGGACAGATGTCCTGCCTCCTTAGGCTGGTCTTGGCTGTGCCACGTTCTCAGACTGTGTATGGGGATCTCGATAATTCTGAAGAGTCAGTTATACGGTAGGCTGCCTCTCCATTGGAATTTGCCTGCTGTTTTTCTCAGAATTAGACCTGGGGTTATGTATTTGGGGGAGGAAGATCACAGAGGTAACATGCTGCTTTTATCATATCCTGTCAATGACACATGCTACCAGCATAATTTATGCCTATTGATGCTGACCTTGATCAGCTGGGGGAGTGGTGTTTGTCAGGGTCTCCTCTGCGAAGTTACCCTTCAGTTTCCCCCCTTTCCATACAATACTCTTTGGAAGGAAGTCACTATACACAAGCCACTTTTAAGGGACTTGTGCTCTCGCCCTGTTCAGGGGGCTGGAGTCCTCAGCTGAGAAAGCTGGGACAGCCCCCCCACAGGCTGCATGCCCTGTGCGAGGCAGAGGCCACATGGCCCCCCACATGAAGCACTGTCTACTCCACAGGGGACGGGTTGCTCCTGCTAAGTACCTGAGCACCAGTCTCTGCCCACCTCCAGCCTACAGAATCCAAAGATTCAGGGTTCTAGAAGCAGCTCCATGTTGCCCGGTCACTCTGGGCCCACTGACCCACTGACTGTCTTTGTACAAGGCTAAATTTTCCTTCAACCCCAAGATTATGCTGATATAGTCCTCACCAAAGTAGCCAAATGTGGCTCAGGATACCAAGAGGTTACCACCAACACCCCCTTTTTTTTTCAGGCTTGGGATCATGGGCTGAGCTTTATCAAATAACCTGAGAGAATTCCCTACATCTTTATTCAAAAGCACCTACTATTGTCCCTGCCCCCTCCCCTAAGGTGGAATCTCAGAAAACTAGGTCCCAGGATCCTAAGGGAACTCTGATGCAAGCAAATGCACCCCTGTCTCTGATGCATAAATGCCCTGCCCCACCCGTTGGGGTTCCTCAGGGTTAGTTTCACCTCCTTCCTGACATTATTATATGGAACAAAGCTCCCTCATTTTTTCAAAGAGAGAGGAGATGGCATGGAATGTGTTTACTGCTCCAGCAGGAGGAGTATTAGTTGTGTGCCAAACTTTTATATTGGTAATTAAATTTTGCATACTTCAAATTCTCTCTTGTTTCCATTTCATTGATGCTGTTGTAAGGATTAATTAATGTTTTGAAAGTGTTTTGAAGATGAAAAGTCTTACACACATACAAAGTGTAATTATTTGTTATTACAAATAATTGTATCTGGCCACTTTCTCCCCTCACCTCAGTGATTATGTGAAGGTTTCAGCAGGTAATTAAAAGCTGCAGTGTCTCTCTTACAAAATGGTTGCCTTTCATCTAAATTTTCTTCTATGGCAGTGAACAGCAGCCTCCTTTCCCTCCCAATGGGAGACAGGCCCCAAACAAAACAACAAATAACACAATGTATATCAGGTGGTGTATTAATTTCCTAGGGTTGCTGTAACAAAGGACTACAAATAACAGAAATTTATTGTCTTGCAATTCTGGAAGCCAGAAGTCCGAGATCAAGAGGTTGGCAAAATTGATTCTGTCGGATGGATGCAGCCTCAGAGCAAGGCTCCCAGTTCAGTGAGTGGAGCAGGGCTGGATTTCAGCTCCTATCCCTTCACCTGCTCAGCTGGGTGCTCCAGGGAGGCGATTATTGCCATAGAGGATGTAAGAAGTGGTAGGATTCTGAATCTATCTTCAAAGTAGAGCCATTGGGGTATGCTGATGGATTGGAGATGGTGCGTGAGAAGGAAAGGGGTCTAGGATACCTTCAGATTTGGGGCCTGAGAAACTAGAGAAATGAAGCGGCCATTCCCAGAGATGGAAAGCTGGAAAGTCCTGAGTTCGCCTAGTGGTCTGTCTTACATTGGGGCAGGGGAAGGGGAGACCAGACTACATGCTCTTGAAGCCTTCTTCCAGCAGTGGAGAACGCATCCACATGGCAATAGAAGCTATGACAGCTAAGAAGGACTGGTCTGGGAGCCCGGCCGCCGGGCCCAGCTCCACGCCACCTCTGTGGCTGCGCGCGCTCCGCAGCCGGGGTTGGGGGTGCCCCTGCGGCGGGAAGGGGCGTTACAAATACCCTTGGGGACTTAGCTGGGAAGGT